CCTGTGCATTTATCCATTTATAAATTAGACACAACCAGCGGTCCCAAGGATCCTCAGAACCAAACGTGCTTCGGAATTTTCTGATTCCAGCAAGGTCACAGGGCGCCAGTCAGCACACAACAATCTTAGGACTCGAGGGCACCCTCCTTTTCCGCCCCACATGAGGAAGCGTCAGGACTTCTGCAGACACGTGTGCTTATGCTGATGACTCGGACAACTGTGCTCAGTAAAAGCTATGAATAGCCACACATCCATTCTGGTCAACTCAGGCTGAATCTACAAATGAATTACGAAATAGCTTGTGCATTTCAGAGCTTTTGGACAACCTGACAAGGGACTGTCAACCTCTACTGCTACACAGTTACAGGGTAAAACTTAGGTCAAAAAAATAGGCTAAAGGGAGATGAGATGAAAATAGAAAAGGGAGCGCTCACGTTTCCCTTTAGTGGGCCACGGTGTGCGCAGTCTATCTTGGAAACCACTGGACACCAGCAGACACACTGTTCTCAGGCTCCAAGAGGGGTGTGCACCACTGAAAACTGCTCCAGGCAGAAGGATGGGGGGGTCACTTAACAGTTCCATGGTTCTCCCTCCCCCAAGAGGAAATGCAGAACTTCACCTTGGCTACAGTTAAAAGCCAAGATCCAGGGACTTCCCTGGTGGTCTAGTGGTTAAGAATCCACCTTCCAATGCAGGGGACGTTCGATCCCTGGTCTAGGAACTAAGATCCCAGATGCCACGGGGAAACTAAGCCCTCATGCCACAACTAGAGAAGCCTGCTCCCCGCAGTGAAGACCCAGCATGGTCAAAACAAGCCAATGTCCACGCCAACCCGTCCAGTCTGTCCCTCCTGAGGATGCACAGTGCCTGCCTAGGTAGACTTACCGATAACCAGGAGGGAGGAGGACAGGTCACAACTCGAGGTAAGCAAAAGACCCTTTGCTAAACCGACTGGTTTATTAATGACCGGGGGACACACACACAAGTGTTCGCCTGTGTGTTTACTAGGACTTTTGCAAGGATTAACAACCGATTTTGTTTCTCTAGAACTGACTCAGTCTTACCAGTCCTCATAGTAATATTGGGTCGGCCAAAAAGTTCATTTGGGTTTCTCCACGTTAAGGGAAAAACCTGAACCACGTTTTTGGCCAACCCAATGTTTTAGTACGGGTCAGTAGTCTTATTTCCCACTCTGAGCTCTGCTATCCCCGTCCCCAGGGACCAGGTGAACTGAGGCACATAGATAAAGGGTAGGTTTTTGCTTGAAGTCTTCAGTGAAGGGTTTTAAATTGTAGCATAAAGCATAAAGTACCATAAAGAGCTACCATTCATCCTAAGTGGCTCTTGCCGCAACTCTGATGGTCAAGCCCTCGCTTGCTCTTATCCACATTTTCTTTTAATGAGAAGAACAAGAAGGAGACCAAGTGAGGGGTTGGTGACGTCAGAACACCTAGACTACTCCTAAAGACAGTCAGTGTCTTTCCTCTGCATTTTCCCTTGGACTCCCATTTATTTTGCTTCTACTTAGGCCCCAGAGGCAGTGCTTCTCCCAGCACGGGTCAACGCCGCAGTGACAGTACCAGGAGCTCAAGCAGAGAGTGGACCCTACCCCCACCCTCCTCATTGCCCCCTACTCCTCCCATCATCTCCCACCGAGAGCCCTGGGTCTCATGGGACAAAAAAGAATCTCTGTCGATTAATGCAGAAAGTTTTAGAAGTTCACGCCAGCTGTGCTCTCATCCACAAGTACCTCAGTTTGACCCTCACAAGTACCAATTAAAGGAATGATATTACAAAGCTGTTTTAGCTCTGGAATCAGTATTCCACGCCCGGAGGAATTTCATTTGCATATAATTTGTGCTTACTTCATGTCAGCATTTATCAAAACGTCCTGAGCCTCTTTTTCAACAAAGACAGGCTTTTTACACCCAGAGTTGTGAGAATCCCCAAAGAGGGCTGATCAATCTCAGATCCAAGTTCGAGAACTGCCCTAAATACAAACTCTCCTAAATATCAAGGAACACAGAGGTTTAAATTCACCAAAATTTCCCCTGAAAAGGGAAAGACATTCTTTGTCACCTGCATTGTGAAATGTGTTTTGTAGTTTATTATATATTTGTCTCCCATTCACGTCATAGGTTCAGCCAAAAAAATAATAAAAATCCCCATTGTGTAAAGACAGCGTCTGACTCAAACTGGACGGTCCAGTAAAATCCTAGCTCAGGACCTCTTCAAAGTATCAGACCAAGATTCCAGCCATGTTGCCAGGAGGTAATTCTGTGCCCCAGTTGACAGACAGACATACAAGTAAACAAGTCACCTTATCCATGGTGCTACTTTTGAGTTCTAAAGCAGCCCTGTCCATTAGAAACACACCAGCCACATACTAAACTTCACATTTTCTTGTAGTCACTTTAAAAAAGGGAAACAGAAATAGATGAAATTTTACTAATATATTGTTTCATTTAAAATGTTATTATTCCAACATGTGATTTACAGAACAAAATTATTAATGAAGTGTTTTATGATCTTTGTTTAATAGTAAATCTCTGAAATGCAACGTATATTTTACAATCACAAGGTTTCTCAATTTGAACTACAAATTTTATCAGATACAATGGATATATTTAGGTTTTATAAAATTTAAAGTAAAAAATGTAGACTCACATACTTAGTTGTTCCAAGTCATACTGAAAGCTTTCTGATAACTGACTCAAGTCACCAGTTTCTCATATTTTAATTTTACTTTTAATTTGTCACAACTTAAAATTGAGTTTTCCAAGTTGTAGGACCTACTTTGCAAGCACATGGTGGCCTCATGTGGCCGAGCGGGACAGAACTGGACACAGTGCCTCCTGAGTGGGCGACAGGCTGGGGGCGGGACTAGCCTCACCCTGCACACCCAGGGCCCTGAAGCTGGGCAAGCGGCCAGTCCATGTGGGCGCATGTCCTCAGCTCTGCAAGGGATCCCCTGATACCACGTGTGCTGGGGCGGGGGGGGGGGTGGAGGGTGGCTTCCGTCCTGCCATCCAGTCCCCTCGCAAGAGCCCATCTCACTCAAGCTCTGATCAGGAAGTGGGCCCACAGTGAGGATCACGGCCAGAGGAGTGACTATAGGGTCCAGACAGCCCCCAGTTGGGGAGGGCGCAAAAGACCAGGGGAGCATCAGTGCCGGCACAGGTGGACACAGATGGGGACAGGTGAGGACAGGTGAGGACAGGTGGACACAGATGGGGACAGGTGAGGACAGGTGGACACAGATGGGGACAGGTGAGGACAGGTGAGGACAGGTGGACACAGATGGGGACAGATGGACACAGGTGGGGGCAGGTGAGGACAGGTGGGGACAGGTGGGGACAGGTGGACACAGGTGGGGGCAGGTGAGGACAGGTGTACATAGATGGGGACAGGTGGACACAGGTGAGGACAGGTGGGGACAGGTGGACACAGGTGGGGACAGGTGGGGACAGGTGGGGACAGGTGAGGACAGGTGGACATAGATGGGGACAGGTGGACACAGGTGAGGACAGGTGGGGACAGGTGGACACAGGTGGGACTCAGGGATGCTTAGAGTCAGACACAGGGTAGACCCTGCAGCAGCTGCTGCTGTTTAATCACTAAGCTATGTCCAACTCTTTTGTGACCCCAGACTGCAGCACACCAGGCTCCCTCCCCTCTCCTCCACCATCTCCTGGAGTTTTCTCAAACTCATGTTTGAGTCACTGATGCTATACAACCATCTCAATCCTCTGTCGCCCGTTTCTCCTGCCCTCAATCTTTCCCATCATCGGGGTCTTTTCCAATGATTTGGCTCTTCGCATCAGGTAGCCAGAGTATTAGAGCTTCAGCATCAGTCCTTGCAAACAATATTCAGGGTTTATTTCCGTTAGGATTGACTGGTTTGATCTTCTGTCTCTTTATTGGAAAGATAAAAGTCAAGGTCTCCAGCAGGTTGTAGCAATTACTCTCAGAAAGAAGTTTGATGCCTTCTTAACTGCATCCAACTTTTATGTTAGATGTTCCCACATTCACATCACAAATTAAACAGTCTGAGAACATGTGTATTAAGATCAGCAAGTTCACAAAATTGTTTAAAATGTATGTAGGATACATATATATATAATTATGACTGATTCATGTGGATGTATACCAGAGACCACCACAACATTGTAAAGCAATTATCGTCCAAAAAAATAAATAAAAGAAAAATGTATATATAAAAGGGTAAAATAAATACTGTATGGTTCTACTTGTATGGGGTCCCCAGAGGAGACACATTAACAGACAGGAAATAGAAAGGCGGTTGCCAGGAGCTGGGGGAGGGGGGTGAGCTTGAGGGGGCGGAGCTTCGATTCAGGGAGGAGGGGCTGAGGGAGGGGGAGCGTTTGACGGGCGGGGCTTCGGTTTGGGAGGAGAGAAAGTCTGGAGATGGACTTGGTAATGGGCGCACGGGACTAAAGGACGGACGGCTGAAAGGACTTACAGCCACTGAACTCACAGCTCCTAAAAATGGTTAACATGCTAACTCTTCATTCACCACAACAAAAAAAGTGGGTGCTTACCGAGCCTGCCTCACTACAGAAATGTACTGCTCTACAGAACTGACTTGCTTGTGCTCAGCCGTGTTCGACTCTTTGGGTGCGCTAGACCATAGCCCGTCAGGCTCCTCTGCTCGTGGGATTCTCCAGGCAAGGATGCAGGAGTGGGTTGTCATGCCCTCCTCAAGGGGATCTTCCCTACCTGGGGACTGATCCCGTGTCTCCTGCATTTCAGGCGAGTCTTTACCGCTGAGCCAGCTGGGAAGCCTGGGAAGCTGGATGATGGCCCAGAGAAAACACCCAGGCCCTAATCCCTGTAATGGGAGAACGGTTATCGGCAAGATGGACTTTGCAGGTGTAATTCAGATAAGGATGCTGAGCTGAAGATTCTGGATTAACATAAGGATGCTGGATTGTCTGGATGCACCTCAACTGTGATCACCGTGCCCTTATTGGAAGCAGGGAGAAGATTTGACGGAGAAGAGAAGAAAGTCACGGGAGGAAGAAGAAGGAAGCGGAGCTGGAGGACAGCCGCTCCCTGCCAGCTCTGAAGGCGACAAAGGGATCCGAGCCCCAAGAAGCCAGAGTGCTGCTCTGCGAGCTGGAAGAAGCAGGGACCTGGGCTCCTCCAAGGGGCCTCGGAAGGACCGCAGCTCTCCTGGCAACTTGACTGTGGTTCCGTGAACTGACTTCAGACCCTGACCTCCAGAAGAGTGAGAGAAGAAATGTGTGCTATTTGTACGCCCCTAGTTTATTGTAGTAGTTTGTTATAGTAGGAAGCTAATACATATATGATGCTCATATATTTATATAACAATTACCTTTTTTTTTTTTGCAATACAGTGTTACTAACTATGGACTTCCCAGGAGGCTCAGTGGTACAGAATCTACCTGCCAACACAGGAAATGTAGGTTTGGTCCCTGGTTCGGCAAGATCCCCTGGAGAAGGAAATGGCAACCCATTCTAGTATTCTTGCCTGGAGAATCCCACGGACAGAGGAGCCTGGCAGGCTACAGTCCGTGGAGTTGCAAAGAGTCAGAACACACGTTCACGTTATTAACTGTGGTCTCCATATATTACATCCCCCTGACTTATTTACATTATAACTGGAAATTTGTACCTCATATTTTAATAGTAAAACTATATCTTTGATACAAAATATCTTATATATTAGTTACAGTCCCATTTTTTATCTTAGAAAGCTTTGTATTAAAGGTATTATATTAAATGGTATTGGTATCTCCAAATTATAATCAAATAATTCTCTTTGAAAATTCAAAATGTAAAATACTCAGCATAGGCAGAATACCCTCTGACATAAATCAGGCAGTATTTCGGGGGATCTGTCTCCTAAGGCTAAAGAAATAAAACCAAAAATAAACAAATGGGGTCCAATTTAACGTAAAAGCTTTTGCACAGCAAAATAAATCATCAACAAGATGAAAACACATCCTAATGCAGGAGAAAATATTTCAAAATTATATAACTGACAGTTCACAGCAGTATTATTTACAATAGCCAAGACATGGAAGCAACCAAAATGTCCATCAACAGCTGAACAGATTAAGAAGATGTGGTATATATACACAGGAATACTACTCAGCCGTAAAAAAAAAAAAGTGAAATTGTGCCATTTGTGACAATGTGGGTAGACCTAGAGAGTATTACGCTTAGTGAAATAAATCATCCAGAGAAAGACAAATACTCTGTTATCACTTATTTGTGGAATCTAAAAAAAAAAGAAAAGAAACGAATGTGTATAACAAAACAGATACAGAAAACAAACCAGTGGTTACCAGTAGGGAGAGGGAAAGAGGAGGGCCAAGATGGGGGTTGGGGATTAAGAGATACAAAGTACTGTGTGAAGAATAAATAAGCAAGAAGGATACACTGTACAGTTCAGGAAAATATAGCCATTATTTTCTAATAACTTTAAATAAAATCTGTAAAAATACTGAATAACTATATTATACATCGGAACGAATATAATATTGTAAATCAACTACACATCAATAAAATAAAAATAAAATGCTCAGGAAAAACCCACCAGAAGCAAACTATTCCTAACCCACTAATCACCTAAAATAGCCCAGTATATCTCCAAAGGCATTTAAAGTCAAATATCAGACATCCTTGAAATGGAAGAGGTGAATAGAATATAGGTAAACTCCCTTCAATTTGCATTCATTCCAGGTTTAATACACACGTAGGTAAGAACAGCTTCTAAGACTGGGGAGCATTCACTGCGCAGACCCCTGGATCCCAGGGAAGGGCCTAATACCCTCCTAAACCTTGGAAAAGCAACACGAAATTCACCCCCCTCCCCGGTCACGCCGGTAAGCCCGCAGCCCTGAAGGCATGGCCCGGGCTCATCCGGTATTCTCCGTGTGAGCCGCCATCCCCTCCCGGAGATCTAACACGATAACATTTCCGAAACGGGGAGTTTTCAATCTCCGCACTGTGGACTGTTGGCCCTGACACTGCCGGTTCCTAACATTTCCGAATGAAAAGCGCGGGGACAGACCCGGGCCGCATGCAGCAGGGGCTGGGCCAGCGCCTGGGCGCCCCGGCTCACTGAGGCAGGGGGGGCCCCAGCCTCAAGGAGGTGTCGCTGAACCAGAAAACCACGCTCTCCTCCGAGCTCTGGGGCTCCACGGGGAAGCCCTGGGGGGCACCGCGGAGTTACACGTAAAATGTTTGCAGCAGAGAAGCTGAAAAGCAATACCAACGTTCTCCCCAGTCATTCAGCTCTGCAGACTTCACCTCCCGACACAGCTCAGCCGGGCGCCCTTCCGCCCATCGCACGGTCACCCCCGCCCCTCACTGGGACCCCAGGCCGGGCTGACTGCAGGAGCCCCCAGCCCCTAGGGACGCCTCATCTCCGCCCCCACCCCCGCCCCGCCTCGGCCCTTCGGACCATCCACTCGCCAGCTGAACGCAAGCTGGTGGGGTCACCCATCCACGTCCCGCTCGAAGCCCTGTGACGGTTTTTCCTCCTTCTCAGTGTTAATCATGCTGACCAGGGGTAGCGGCGTTCCCCAATCAACAGAAACTGAGGAGAGGCCTGGAGCTCAGACCCACACCACCCACACCATTTAAGGGCCCAACTCAAGGGACAGCGACTACCAGCCCTCCGACCAAAGCAAGCCACGTGGCCAAGTCCAAAATGAGCGGAGGGGAACGAGCGCTTGCCAACACAATAGAAACTCTCAGGCCTGGCTGCGGAGGACCGAGTCTCGGTCACACGCGGCACCGCTGTGACCCAGCTCGAGGCACGCGCGCCTAGGAAGCCACTGCGCTCGCAGAAAACAGCGGTCCCCAGCCCGAGCCCAGGCTCTATGTCACCAGTCAGAGCCGCCACTGAAAAGGGCCTTCCCGGAGACGCGCCTCTCCGGCAGCTCCTCACGGGCTCCGGGGTGGGTAACCGCTGGCCTTTACTCAGCTGTGGGTAATGAGCGCCGAGGCAGCCCCTCACCTCCGCAGGGACTAGGAAATGAATATGCAAGGAGAAGCAGGATACAAAGAAGAAATAAAGTATCGTAGAAGCAAGAGAATTGTGGGTATTTCTTAAGTCATCGTGTGCTGAAATGTTCTCCAAGATAGCTTCAGAGTCGCTCCGGTCAAATAAAAAACGGTTATTTGGAGATTCATTTGTTTTTTTGTTTCATGAGACCACACAGCAACTGTCCCATCAACCCTGCTGTCTGCGGCCACAACGATTATTTGAAAAGGTAGATCTGATCGTGTGCCCTCTGGTTAAAACCCAGTCTCCTGTCAATGGTGTCCCAGAACCCTTCCACCTCTCCAGCTTCACCCCCCAGCCACCCTCCTCCCGGGCTCCAGCCACCAGCGTTTTCGTTTTTAATAAAAAGTCATCAGGACCTCCCTGGTGGTCCAGTGGTCAGGACTCCCAGCTTCCACTGTAGCAGGCTTGGCTTCCATCCCTGGTCAGAGAACTAAGATCCTGGACACCGCACGGTGCAGCCAATTTTTTTTTTTTAATTTAAAAATAAAATTAAAAAAAAATATGAGTAAGACGTCACAGTCTCATTGCTAGCCCTCTGCACTTGTTGTTCCCTCCTCCTGATAAACTCTTCTCCTTCCCTTCTTTGTCTGGCTAATTCCTGACCAGTGCTTGGGTTTAAACAGAGAGAAGGCTTCCAGGCCCCACTGCCTCTGTGTGCCCCGGAGCATCCCGTCACCCGCCATCACGATAGGCATCCCACACCTGTTGCTCCTCTGCCTTCCTCCAGTCCCCTCACACCCACGAAGGCAAGGACTGTGTCTCTGACCCAGTCCCCACTAATTACATGTCCTCAGAAGGCTGCTTTCCCGTTTTCACTGGAATCTCTGCTGTCTTCGTCTCAACAGCTGTTGAATTTAATACCAGGGTTTTCGACAAAAGAAATTCTGCTGAAACTTTTTTAAAACTACACCAACTCGGTGTGTGGTTGGTAACAAGCCCTGTCTCCAACTTCTGTGCAGCCTTCAGAGTTCAGTTCAGGGTTCGCCTCCCAGGCCGGGAAGTCCTCTGTGCACCCCTGCAAGCGAAGCCTGAGGCCCTGCCTCTGGGCTTGCGGGGTAAGAGTGTACACCCGACCTCAGCACCGGCCACGTCGTCGTGCCCTCGAGTTTCTCAGGAAAGGTATGCTGATTTCCAGGGAACTGAACTCACATGTGACCTTAACCAGAATCCTTTTGGCCTGTGCTTCTACTGATTGGCCGCTGGCTCTTTCCTGAAAGCAGTGTTCAGTTCAGTTCAGTCGCTCAGTCGTGTCCAACTCTTTGTGACCCCATACACTGCAGCACGCCAGGCCTCCCTGTCCATCACCAACTCCCAGAGCTTGCTCAAAGTCATGTCCATTGAGCCGGTGATGCCATCCAACCATCTCATCCTCTGTCGTCCCCTTCTCCTCCCACCTTCAATCTTTCCCAGCATCAGGGTCCTTTCCAATGAGTCAGTTCTTCACATCAGGTGGCCAAAGTACTGGAACTTCAGCTTCAACATCAGTCCTTCCAGTTAATATTCAAGACTGATCTCCTTTAGGATGGACTGGTTGGATCTCCTTGCAGTCCAAGGGACTCTCAAGAGTCTTCTCCAACACCACAGTTCAAAAGCATCAATTCTTCGATGCTCAGCTTTCTCTGTGGTCCAACTCTCACATCCATACATGACTACTGAAAAAACCTCAGTTTTGACTAGATGGACGTTTGTTGGCAAAGTAATATCTCTGCTTTTTAATATGCTGTCTAGGTTGGTCATAGCTTTTCTTCCAAGGAGCAAGTGTCTTTTAATTTCATGGCTGCAGTCACCATGTACAGTGATTTTGGGGCCCCCTAAAATAAAGTCTGTCACTGTTTCCATTGTTTCCCCATCTATTTTCTGTGAAGCAATGGGAAAGCAGTGAGGTTGCCTCAAATCAAAACATGCATGAAATAATATTCCCATAGTTACATACTCTCTATATCAGTAAAATTATAATAATCTTTCATAAATGTATTTTGGCATATACCCCCCTCCACAGAGAATGGCTATTAAGTATTTACCAGCACATCACAGGGTTTCTCAGATGGCTCAGTGCTAAAGAATCCGCCTGCCAATGTAGGAGAGGCAAGTTAGATTCCTGGGTCAGGAAGATCCCCTGGAGAAGGAAATGGCGACCCACTCTAGTATTCTTACCAGGAAATCCTATGGACAGTGGAGCCTGGCTGGCTACAGTCCATAGGATTGTAAAGAATCAGACAGGACTGAGCCACTGAGGCCACAAATGCACACAGTGCACCACCCCCTGCCACCCACAGGAACACCCTGGCTTGTTCCGTGCTGAGTCGCTCAGTCACGTCCAGCTCTTTGCGACTCCTTGGACTATAGCCCACCAGGCTCCTGTGGCCATGGGGACTGGCTTACTCTTTCCTAAACGTCTTATTGCTTTCAAATTCAAAGGCCTAGTTTTTCATTATATTTTAAGAACAACATCATATCTTATTATTATACTTATTTATAAATATTTACAAATATTATTTTACTTATTACAAATATTTACAGATATTCATATCACCTTTAAGGGTATTGATTAATATTTCTTGCTTTCACTGAGAACATTAAACTTTTACAAAAATTTAAATTGCATTTATAAGTTTAATCTATCATATTTATGTTAAATATCTCAATTGACTGATAACAAATAAAAAATCTCAAGTAACTAAATAATACTTATAAATCCTACCCATTTAATTTGCATGTCTTGTCACGCTGATGTGAGAAAACTTGGTCCCTTGTGTCCTTGTGTCCCTATGCTGGCCACTGCAAGTACACAAGTGTCACCAGTATGCCAGCCCTTCCCATGACCCACACCTCCAGTACATGGGCACTTCCTCCATACCACACCTCCAGTACACCATCACTTCCTGCATACCACACCTCCAGTACACCATGGCTTCCTGCATACCACACCTCCAGTACACCATGGCTTCCTGCATACCACACCTCCAGTACACCATCACTTCCTGCATACCACACCTCCAGTACACCATGGCTTCCTGTATACCACACCTCCAGTACACCATGACTTCCTGCATACCACACCTCCAGTACACCATCACTTCCTCCATACCACACCTCCAGTACACCATGGCTTCCTGTATACCACACCTCCAGTACACCATCACTTCCTCCATACCACACCTCCAGTACACCATCACTTCCTGCATACCACACCTCCAGTACACCATCACTTCCTGCATACCACACCTCCAGTACACCATCACTTCATGCATACCACACCTCCAGTACACCATCACTTCATGCATACCACACCTCCAGTATACCATCACTTCATTCATACCACACCTCCAGTACACCATCACTTCCTGCATACCACACCTCCAGTACACCATCACTTCCTGCATACCACACCTCCAGTACACCATCACTTCATGCATACCACACCTCCAGTACACCATCACTTCATGCATACCACACCTCCAGTATACCATCACTTCATTCATACCACACCTCCAGTACACCATCACTTCCTGCATACCACACCTCCAGTACACCATCACTTCCTGCATACCACACCTCCAGTACACCATCACTTCCTGCATACCACACCTCCAGTACTACCATCACTTCCTGCATACCACACCTCCAGTACACCATCACTTCCTGCATACCACACCTCCAGTACACCATCACTTCCTGCATACCACACCTCCAGTACACCATCACTTCCTGCATACCACACCTCCAGTACACCATCACTTCCTGCATACCACACCTCCAGTACACCACCACTTCCTGTATATCACACCTCCAGTACACTGTCACTTCCTGTATATCACACCTCCAGTACTCAGCACTCCCTGCATACCACACCTCCAGTACACCATCACTTCCTATATACCGCACCTCCAGGATACCGGCTGCAAAGAACAGTTTAACATCCCAGGAAATGCCCCTCCTTGTGTCACTGGCTACCTGGTACCCACAGCGCAGATGAGCAAAAGTGGCCAGCCCTAGGGTCCTTTCCAGTGCTGGATCCTGCAATGCCCAAGTGGCGCATGAAACACCTGAGGTTAAGTTCAGAGCCTGGAGACACCAGCTCGATCCCCCACCACTGATCATTTGTCACACGATCTTCTTCTTAGTAAAGACCCAGGTTTTGGAGAAGGCTCTATTCCCTTAAACAAACTATTCAACATCACTGAGAAGTCCTTACAGATAACGAAGACAGAAATAATCATACCTTCCATGGAGGAACTGCAGGCACCTTTGTCTGCACTCCACACACCCCCAGGGGTCTGGGAGACCACAGACAGGTGGTGACATCTAAAACAATGGATGGACGGCGAAAACTTCAGGCACTCCTCCATAAATATTATTTCTCTCTGCAGAGCTTCTTGAAAGGTATTAATAGTGATGAGTCTGAGATTATAGTTCCTAATAAAAGAACCTGGAAAGCAATGATTCCAAGTATCCAGT